TTCCCTGTTTCTCGTTCGAAACCATGGCCTGAAAATTTGCGTTAAATGACGTCTCGAACTTGATCTTTAGTTTTTAGGTAGAAAAGCCAACTTTCCTGAATAATCATCAATGAAAGTAACAAAATAAAGTGCACCACCATGTGTTCTAACTTTTAAAGGACCACAAACATCCGAATGAATCAACTCCAAAATATTTTCTTTTCTAGAAGCAACATTTTTATGAAAAGAAACTCTAGTTGTTTACCCGCCAAACAAAACACAAGTTTTGAGATGTGTACCTTTCAAATCGGGTAGAAACTCTTTCTTGAACCAATACTTGCAGTCCCTTTCACTCATGTGGCCAAGCCGCTTGTGCCACAATTCTTTGGTAGAAGTATTATCTTCAAGTGCATTGACAACAACCTTTACAAATTTTTTCTTGCATCGAATAAAGTGTATGAGTCTTCTTGCCACTTAGCCACCACCCAAAGAACCCTTTGTGAGCTTCCATATTCCATCACCAATTTGTTGTTGAAGCCTTCATCATCTAGCTCCCAGTAGAGATCAAATTAAGGCGAATGTCGGGAACATCGCCTCACATCTTTAAGCAACAACTTGCAGCCCAAATTTTTTCCAAGCAAACATCACCCATGCCAATAATCTTAGACAAACCTTCATTACCCATTTCGAAAAAACCATAATCTCCTTCGGTGGTAGTAGTGAAGAAATCAAACTCGAGAAGTCACATGAAAAGAAGCACCAGAATCAATCACCCAATTATCTCTCTTGCCACAAAATTGATACAATCTACTTCACAAACGACTATGAGATCATCCGTAGTAATGCCATTGTGTTCTTCTGTTTTCTTGTCCACACTTTGTGGCACGCCTTTTCTCCTTATTCTTGAGCTTTCGACATTCCCGCTTCATGTGCCCTTCTCATGGCAATAATGACATTCAATGTCTTTCTTTGAAAAAGAACCACTTCTTTTGTCACGGCTTTGATCATTGACCATGAGGAGTCTTTTACTCCTCCCCCTTGTTTGCTTCGGCCTTTCACAAACAAATGCTTCTGAATGGAGGACCCCCGATTTTCTTCTAGTTTCTTCATTCAATAAGCTACTATGACTTGGCCCATTGTGACAACTCCATCGGCCCGAATTACTTAACGGTCACAACCAAAGTCTCCCAACTTTCGGTAAAGAACTAAGTAGCATCCAAAGCCTGCAACTCATCATTAAAAACAATTTTCATAGAAGCAAGTTGGGTTAACAATACTTTTATTTCATTCAGATGTTCCGGAATAGGCTGCCCTCTTTATATTTTAAATTAACCAACTTACGAAATAGAAAAGCTTTATTTGTGGCTGATTTTCCTTATCCATAAAGCCTTCTAATTTTTTTCATAAATCATTTATGTGCTGAAGTTTCAGTAGCAACATGATGAAACACACTGTCATCAATCCATTGACGGATAACACCAACAGCTTTTCGATTAAGCCTATTCCATTCATCATCTTTTATACACTCGGGTTTGCCACTATCACCCTCAATGGGTCCATACAAATCTTTACAAAATAATAGGTCCTTCATTTTAGTTTTCCAAGTTATCCAATTACTTCCATTGAAGCTAGACATGCGACCCACATTCCCTTCCATTGATTTACACAAATAAATAAACCCAAATAAATCGGAAGCTCTGATACCAGTTGTTAGGGAAAATATGTGATTCCCCACAGGTAAATCAATCAATGGAAATAAAAACTAATGCGGAAAAATTAAATCAAAAGCAACACAAGAATTTTTACGTGGCTCCCTCAATGTGAGGTACATCCACGGGATCGAAATCCGATTCCACTATCAACCAAATAAGTTTCCAAACGATTACAAACGAGACACGAATAGTCTCACAAACCGCCCTTAGGTGAATTCCAAATAATCATAAATAAACAAGAGGAAAGACCTCACCAAATAGATGAACCAAAATCTTCAGAATCAGAGTTGAAGAAGACCCAAAATAACAAACCAAATCAGAACCGAAAATTGAACCAAACTGCTTCACAAATCAAAGCACCAATTCTTGATTGACCAAGTCAAGTCAAGAATACCAAAACAACACCAAGTTGATTAATGGGCACCAAACTGCTATTGCCATTTTTTTCTTCACACATGGGGATGAGCAAAAACAAAACCCTAAAATATAGAGAATCTAGGGTTTATTATCAAACCTTAGTTGTTTCCAAATTGGATTGGGTCTCCACAAATTAAATATAATATATAAAAATATATTATAATTAATACTAAACCAAATTAAACTTTTTTTTCCAAAATACCCAACAAAATAAGCTCAAAAGGAGATAAGAATAAAGATATGATCACAAAACAACTGTCAAAATATGCTGAAACAGAGTCAGTCGCTTGAGCGGTCTACAAAGACTGCAAAAGTACTAGATGCTCAAAATGTGAGCTCGAGCCATCACTTGGTCGCTCAAGTGGTTTGTGATGTTATGCAAAATACTACTCCCTCCGTCCCAAAATATTGGTCCCTTTTGGGGAATCCAACTTTTTTTGGTAGTACACTTATTGCATTTGAAAAAAGTTGGTTTTCCAAAATTACCTTTTTGATAGTACATTTTTTGGGAATATCAATGTCATAATTGTACTTTTTAAATTGTTTATTAATTTAAAAGAAGGGCAAAATAGGAAATTTACATTATTTTTGTACTTGATTTATAAAGAGGGACTAATATTTTGGGACAATGAAAAATGGAATAAGGGACTAATATTTTAGGACGGAGGGAGTAGAAGCTTGCAATGTTTGCTTGAGCCACCACTTGGTCGCTTGAGTGCTCTGTGAAAATTCTGGGTTTTCAAAAATGAAAGTTTGAGTTTCAAACACCTTTTCAAAAGCAAAACTCAGCATGACTTGTTCTTTAAGCTTGAAAACTCTTCATTAAACATAAATACGTAATCATTTGCAAACCCTTTGCTCAAAAACATCAATTTGGCAAAATTGAGCTCAAAACCTCCATGTATGTAAGATTTTTAAACTCCTCTCTTGTACTATTCAAAATATGGACTTAACTCTCAAATTCATGAAGTAAAACTCTTGAAGCTTTAGAAATCAATGATGCATGTACAAATTAGCTTCCAATTCAACATGGGTAATAGAATTCAAACTCAAAAATGGTAAAACATGGTAAAATCATGCATGCATGTAGAGCTTCTTCAATTTCTTCATCTTTGAGCCAAGACCCTACCAATTATTCATAAACAAGCACAATATTTTCTTAATTACATGAGCTAGGTGAATTATCTTCAAGAATTAAGAGTCAAACTCTTACCTAGAGCCTTGAATTACACTTATTCTTGCACAATTTTGTTTTCCCTAGCAAAAATCTTCAAGTTCTTCAATTCTCACTCTCTCTCTCTAGGTTCACTCTCTCTCTCAAATGAATTCTCAGCACAATGATCTCAAGAATGAACAAAATTGAGCTCAATACTCTCTTAAGATACACACATATATAGCTAGGATTAGTTTAATTACTAATTATATCATTAGGCTAATTAAACACAACTTAATTTATCAAACTGAATCAATTTTAAATCAAACTTCCCAAATGATTTTAAAAATTTCAATTAGTCTATTCATCTTGTCAATTTTGGTTTTTAAAATCATTTAAATCATAAAAGATAGTTATCAAATCAGACAGATATTCACAAATTAATCACAATGCACATATCACAACTTAAAATTCACACATAATTAAATGAATGTAATTATAATATGCAAATTGGGGTCGTTAGAATATGTCATTTGGCTTTTTCGTGTGGAGATAATTTCACCTTCCATAGTGACATCTGTCATCAAACTTATATCAAATTAAGTTTTCACTAATCATTTCATCAAATTTATATTAAAATCAAAATTAGGCAAAAACAAGATTTTCATTAAATTAAATGAAAATTTTGAAAATAAGCTTGAAATTTTTAAAAATATTTAATAATTTTTTAAAGTAAGTCAGGATTAGAATATCAAATTAGTGTTTGGTTTAATTTTGAAAATAATTTTTGAGAGCTCAAAATCCAAAATTTGTTTGGTTTACAATTTTTTCAAAATTATTTTCAATCACTTTTCCTATCTACTCTATCATTTTCTCATATCTTACACATCAATCAATTATTTTTTCTGTCATACCTATTTATTTAAGAAAAATGTTTGGGAGCATTAAAAAGGAATCACTAGAGGGAGCACTAATGATGTGGCAGTAGATCCCGCCCACTTTCTATGCCTTGTTTTTATTTTATTTTTATTTTTTTTGTCCTTCCCAATGTATTAATACTATTAGTAATGTATTTTTTAATGGTCTAAATCATTATTGTTTATTTAACTATAAAAAATTACAAATCATCCCAAATTACAAAACTTCAAACCAATGTACAGGAACCGAACCTCTAAACCCATTCTACGCTCAAAATCAACTTTATTTGTGAAAATCAAAAGAACTGGTTGCGGGTCAATACTACCTGGTTTGAAGAATTGACGATTCTTTTAAAAATATATGGTAGATAGAGAGAGCTTGAATATGGAATCAAATGCATAAAAAAACAAGTACCTCTAACAGCTATATATTTAATATTATTTTAATTATTTTTATTAAAAATTAATGTATAAAAAACATAAAATAAATTTAACTAAATATTTTTTGTAATTTTAATATCTATATTTTTTAAATTTATAAATTTTAATATAATTATCACATAACGGTTTAATTCCGATTCACTCGTGCTTTCTACCCGCACTACAAAAAAATTTGTTTTTTGCGACGGTAAGCGGCCGTCGCAAATGCTCCCTGAACCGTCGCTAATACCTTTTGCGACGGTAATCTGGTTTTTTGCGACGGGAGGAGGGGGTCGCGACAGATGGGGTTGCAAAAGACCTTTCGCGACGGTAAGTACCGTCGCCATTAGTTTCTGCGACTACCAAACGAAACGGAGCGCTTAAGTTTTTAATCAAATTTATTTATTTTATTGTGGGTGAGGTGAGATAAGGGGTAGAAGCGAGAGAGATGAGAGGAGGGCCGCTTGTTCCCGCCATATCGATCTCATCATCATCATCAATTGTGGGGTGTATAAACACCCTTCGCCGCCAACATTGCTCTCCACCTCTAGGGTTCCACACCAGCAAGTACTGGGACAAGTTCTACAAGCGCCATCAAAACAAGGTCCCTTCAATTTTCATTCTCACATAATTTCCACTAACTCATGCTTCAATCTCATGTCATGTGTTCCTTATATATACATATATGTGATTGTTTTGTAAATTCATGGTTCATTGAAGTTCTTCAAGGACCGGCATTACTTGGTAAAGGACTGGGGACAATACTTCTACGGTGATAATACTGTATCCCCATATGGGAAGGTCATTTTAGAGGTTTGTTGCTAACTCTCCCCACTACTAATTAATTGCTCCATCAACTTGTGAATCATTTATTCTCATTTTTTTTTCCCCTTGTAATATAATCTGGGCAAATCCTAATAATCACAATATCAAGCAGTGTGACAAATGGTGATGTTTGAATTGTATTAATTTCATTATTAAGAGTGCCATCAAAGAATATTTATTGTGGTGCTGAGTTGGGATGAGGGCAGTTCTCTTCATTAATTTCCGGGCATTTGATAAATTTTGATTATATGAATTGTGCCAATAGGCTTAATCAATTGTATAAACTATTACTAGATTAGCAGTTCCTGTTTGTATTATGTCTTGGTTGCTTTGGTAGTTTTGGCAGGCTGGACAGGCCCATGTGTTTGCTCATCATCATTATATGCAAATTTGTTCTTCAGTCAATTAGTAAACCCTTTTTAAAGGTTGGCGCTAATGCCACATTGTAGATAGCTGGAGCCACGCTCATTTCACCAGAGAGACAAAAATTACCTCCTTAGGCACAATGGATTTGGGTAGAGATTTGAACTGATCCTAAATCCATGATCCAAACAAAGCCTTAGATTGATCCCTTTCTCGCACTAAAACTAACATTATACTCTCTTTGACTCTGATCAGGATTCTATAATCCATACATCAAAGCAAACATTTGGGAAAAAAATAAAAAATTGAAATCAACATCTTACTAATGCCATAGATATGGGTGTTTGCTCAAAAAATCAATGGTGAGTCAACAAACAACAGTCTAGCCAAAGGAACAGGTGAAACAGAGATTCTAAGTAGAGGTAGTCAGTCGTTGACCTCTGGGAAGATGGCGGCCATTTCAATGTCTTAAGATCACCTGAGGTGGAGTTGAGAAGGCCAAGGCAAGCTGGGAGAGGGAGAGGGAGGGAAAGACCTTGAACACTCTTGTATAAGTGTATAGGTATGATTGTGCAAGTGTAGAAGTGAGTCTACCTACTGCATACATGATATGTTATATAGGTTCCTAGAGTATTGGAGCCCAAGTGACCTATTGGGCAGGTGGCTCGTTCTTCCTAACTCTATCAAAAGCTGATATAAGCCCTACTACTGTCTGTGGTTTGGTGGCAAACGGAAGAGTAACATGTCATGTACACATCAAGTTGTGAGTGTAAGGTCCCAATCTCCTCTTCGAAGCTTGGTCAAGGTAGAGCTGTCTTCCTACCAAGAAAGACCTTGACATTTCCTTGGCCTTAGCCTCCAATCCATGATCCTCTAGTGGTCCCAAGCAATGATGCCTGGGTCCTACTCCCGACCTAGGCAACTAAATGGATGAGTGGGCCAAGGGCCTATCTCAATGTTTGGCAGAGTTGAGGGCTCATCCTTAATAGTCCAATGCATGCAAGTAAGCCGAGGACCTGACTATATTACTATTGGGCTGGGAGTGAGCGAGGTATGAAGGACCATGGACCTGAGGGGGCCATGTGGCTGCCTGTTATAGGGCTCTTTATACTTGGGCTTATGTGCATACTTCCGCATAGGCTAAGTATGCAATCTTAATAGGTTTTACGCGGTACCTTTTTGGTCTACCACGCAGGCAGGGCGGGGTATTGGTGATGTGGTGCCCGTAGGGCTCGCCATGTATTGGGCGTGATACGCTTGTGTGGTGCCTTGTCAGTCTGTCACGTAGGCGGGTAATTGATGATGTGGCTCCCGTAGGGCTTGCCACGTGTCGGGCGTGATACAAATACCCACTTTAAAAAACCTAAAACTTATCATTGATGGCATTAACACAATAAAATAAGAAGATAAAAATTGCAAGCCACATCAAAGTCTTCACATACACATACGGATATTCTCATATTATTTGATAAAGATGTACTTTGCATCTTGTGGGTCTCTGTTGGGTTACTAATCTGATGAGGCAAGAACACCCCTGTTTCTACACCATCCCATTTGGGCCCACTCTTTCTAAGAAAAGCACCTCTTATGCCTCAATGAGAGAGAACTGAATCTTTTGCTGTTGGTTCGACATTGTGACTGGCAGTTACCCGAGATCAGTTGATTTTGGAGTGTCTCTGTTGTGGAACGATGGGCCGGATGGAGCTTTGAGAAGGTCTTAGACGCGTTAGGGATTGATTTCTAACCGGAGAATGATAGGAAGCTGACCAAGTGTTTTTGAGATTGTTGAACTGGGTGAGACAATTTCTCCATGAAGCCGTCTCATTGATCTGCAATTGTAGGAATCGGGACCAAATATAAACCAATGCCCATTTTAGAAAGTGAGAGAACCAGACTGATTTTCAAGAGAGAGAGAGAGTGAGAGCACTGAGGAGAAAGGAGAATCGAGAGTGGTTCAGAGAGAGAAAGGGAACAAAACTGAATGGAAGTTGAGGGGCAGTTTAAGGTTAATTTTGTCCATAAAATTAAATGTGCGTAGCTTCAGCTATTTGTTATGTGGCATTAGCACCCTCCCTGTTTTAAAAAGAGAAGAATATATGATACGTGAATACGCATAAAATTTTCTTAAGAGTAATGAAACAAGAGTAAGAGATCTTTGACAAAGGACATAATTACTATAGACATTGTTGATGGCTTTGGTTAAAGCCAGTTGGAGAAACTAATCCATTAACCAACCTAAGTGATTGGGATTAAGATCTGCTGCATTGAGCAATATATGGATTCATTTATACAAGTTGATGAATTTTTCGATTAAATCTTGTGATTACAATTCCATTGCTTTTCTAAATTAATTGTTGGATCAATTGTTATTAACATTGTAAAAATAATATGACATTTAATTGTGACAGGTTGGTTGTGGAGCTGGCAACACTATTTTCCCACTGATTGCTACATGTCCTAAACTTTTTGTTCATGCTTGTGACTTCTCGTCCCATGCAATCGCACTTGTTAAGGCTTGTAACTCTCTCTCTATTCTTTAATATTTTTCTCTGGAAATCTAGAAACAGCTCAATTTTGACTCTTCTTGGTTTCACTTTTAATATGTAAACTTGTGTCCTTGTGTGTGGGAAAGAAAGTACAGATTATCCCTGTTTTTCTCCATTAGATATATGTGCATGTGGCTTACTTCGTGCATTGTTTTTAACTAGAGATTTTTGTGATGATGCTTGTGAATTAACTCATGGTTATGCAGATTAGTATGCAGTAAACAATCAGTGCTCATTCTGACAGCATTGTGTTTATTTATTTATTTACATGGATTACAACTGTTGCTCAATAATTATTATGTTCTCAATGAGTCCTTTGTCTACCTGGTTCCTCTCTTCTTGACGTTTCCAATTCAGCTTAAATCACTATTGATTTGCCACAGTATCTATAACTCTAAAACTTTCTCTCATTAACTGTTTTGAGTCACAGTTCTGGCTGTTGCCAGCATTCCTTTATTCATGTTAAAGAAACTGGTGAATCAGTATTCTAATCATAAGAAAATCCCAAGATCTCGTTTAGAAAATTCTTGTGCATGCTCGTTTTTATTTTTCAATTTATGTAGTGATTTTCTAATGTTTTTTCTTCTGATATAGAATGGACTGGCTGGCTTTAATTAACTTTGGTTGTTACATTGATTGCAGTCACATGTGGATTTCAATGTAGACCAAGTAAATGCATTTGTTTGTGATGTTGCAAATGATGATCTCTGTGACAAAATGATGCCTTCTTCTATTGATGTCGTTACCTTGGTAAGAGTGGGGAATAAGTAATTACTTACCCCCAAAAAAGAAAAGAAAATAATAGAATGTGGGAAATAAGTTAGAGAGAAAATATTCTTGTTTGTGTATAGTTGTTATTTTTAGTCATGTGGTGTTCATGTTGTATTCTGGTTTTATAAATTACACCACCACTGCTTATATAAAAACACCTTACATTTTAAGCAGATTTTTATGTTGTCTGCAGTTTGTCCAAAGAAGATGCCCTTAATATTGAAGAACATAAAGAAAGTATTAAAGGTAGCTCCAACATTGTATTGGTTGGGATTTACCACCAAAAAAAAAAAAAAACATTGTATTGGTTGAGATAGCTAGCTTTTTCATCTTATTCATGTGTTTGCACTGTTTTTCTATAATGACATATTATGGTTATATCAATTTGCAGCCAAATGGTTATATTCTTTTACGGGATTACGCAATAGGAGATTATGCTCAAGTAAGTCTTCTGATTCCACCACTTAAAATATTTATATATACACTATTTTTTCACTGCTGGGGAGTTTGATTTGACAACCAACTTCATGGTTATGGCCTGTCATGCCAATTAAATCGAATTGAATATCGCCCTAGAGCCACTCTATTTGAGAGCTGAAAATTATTTGAGATTATTCTTAAATTAAACGATATTGACTTTTAGGCTTAGTGGTTATTGTAGCATTTGTAGTTACCCTTTCTCATTGTATATGTGTGTACAAAGTTTGTGCCCTTGGTTCCTTTAGCACATTCTATTATCAATCCAAAAAAAGGAAGAAAAAAAGAACTTTTAGTTTATAATATTTATTTACTTTATCAAAAAATAAGAAAAATTTAGTGTTTCTTCTTTTCCCCCTCCATGAAATTAACTCTCTTGGCACTTTTTAGCTGCACTTTGCAATTGCACTCTAAATCAACAACATTCTGTGTGTTGTGCATGTTATTAGTTTTAGTTTATTTTTTTGTTCTTTGTTCCCAGCAAATAAAATAAACTATGTTGAATGATCATGATGTCAAATCATTCCTAGGGTCCATATGGATAGATGTGGTGATGTAGAACACCTTAGAAGAAAAGAAAAGAGAGAAGAGAGGGAGAGAAGAAGATGGCCACAGCCCTATAACATGGCCATATCCTAAAACATGCAGATTCTCATTATTCAAAAGTTAACTTTGCAATGCAAAAGCCCTAATATAGGCTATAAACCCTAATTTAAAATATGAAATTGAATCATAATAGAATAGAAAACAAATATTAATTAAACTCCTAATCAAAATAAAACTCTTAATAAAACTATAATTTAAAAATAAATAATATAACAGATGCGCACATTATGCATTATGTTGATTTCAAATCAAGGGATTTGAGGTTAAATAGATGAAAAAACAATGGTAGAAGATAAGTTGAGATAGAAGATATATATTTTAATAGGATCCTTGTTGCTAAAAAGAGAATCCTTAGCATGATTTCATATAACTAGTTTAATATAGTTATTTTAAATCCATCATGATAAAATCTTGAAATTCATAAATAAACTATTGTATCTAAATTTGAGTTATTGTTCTTCAGTTATTAAGGTCAAATTCCTTGATTTGAAATCCACATCTATCCAAACGGAGCCCTATTGTTCAAAATATATAATGAGGAATATTTGTTGGAGCATGTTAGTTCTTTCCAATGAATTTTGGAAAACATCCCATAGTCATTGTTGCCCTTTACTTCTCACTTTTAGCTGTTTTTGTTTCTCTCTAATTCATTTTACTTCTTCATTGAGTTATGGTGAATTGGGCTTCGTCGTTTTCTTCTTGTGTAAATCTGCTGGCCAAATTTTTAGGTAGAGTTACGCAAGAGGAATCAGATGATTAGTGAGAACTTCTATATACGAGGAGATGGTACTGTAAGTATTCCATAGCCCTGGGTCATTGTTGTTCCCCTGAAGGAACAATTTACCAAGAAAAGGTACTTTATGTAGCCAGTGTTTAACAGTCTGCAGTTCTGCAATTTCAGTGTGCTTTTTACTTTTCAGAAGAATATTTGTCAACCTTGTTTATGAGTGCTGGCTTCAGCATTGTAGATATGGATACATACAGCAGACAAATTCAGAATCGTTCTCGGAACATAACTATGTCTCGGTAGGTTCAACTTTAAATAATCTCTTTTATTTTAATTTGCATTCCCTTTCAGTTGTTTTTCATCCTGTTGAAATGCTGGCTTCAATATTTTGTGTACACTGGGAAGTTGATAAATTTTAGGGTTGATGGGGATGTGTTTGACTTTGTAGCATCCATGATTTTCAGTACTGCATCTATGACTTCTGAAAGTTAGAAGTCGGAATGGATATAATGCGGAATGTGTGTGCACCAGGGAAATTTTATAATTTTGTCTTTAATATTTGTTATCTAATTTATTTTAGTATTTTATTTTGGTTATAGTTTGATTATGAGTTTTATTTGGATCAGGAGGTTAATTAATATTAGGATTTGATTTCCTATTTTAAATTAGGGTTTTAGCCAATGGCGACTCCAAAAATTTTGTTAGTGGTGACATTAAAACTTAAATTCTACAAATTCTTTGCAAATCCTAAAGAATATTCATTGACAACTTTTTCCATATTTAAGGTTGTTTTGGGAACTAACTATTTTAGTTGGCTTTTTGGCTTTTTATAAAAAGATGTGCAGAAAAATAGAGAGAAGAGTTGACTTTTTGGTAGTGACTTTTTGGCTAGTTTAGGTGGTTTATGTTTATATTTTATTTTTGCTCAGGTTCTTTCCTTAGTTCTTGTCCACCCAAAAAAAAAAAAAAAAACTAATATAAACAGAATGAAAATAGAATAATCTATCAATGGTTAACAAAATAAAGAATAAAGAGAGAGTATTTATTTACTTTGATTAGTCCTTATGTGGTTTATCTTTCTTCTTTCACTCAACGGTAAAAATTAATCTTTTAAATCTTAGTTAATGTTTATCTCACTTTAGCAATCCATAATACAATTATTTCATAGTATAAAATACAAATAATCTAATTCAATAGTCCCATGGTATAAAAAAATTTGCGAGTCTCAATTTTAATTATCTACTTATGCAATTAATTTTATTTTGTGAAACAAATGTGTTAAATGGTATTTTCTCTGGATACGTAGGTAGTGTTTAGTTCACTGAAATTAGAAGTGGAATGAAATGATAATTCCATTAGAATGCTTATTCTCACATTTGGTTCACTAAAAAAATGATAAAAAATGTTTTGCAAATGAAATCATTACTCGTGAATGGTCATTTCATAAAAAATGTAAGGAATGATCATTCATTCTATTTCACTTTCATTCTAGTGAATCAAACACTGCCTAAATGCAATTGAGAGAATTAGTTTAAGTATTGTAGTGTTTTGTTTACTGGAATGAAAATTAATGGAATTCTTTAACCTCTCTACATAATGACTATTTCCTAATCTCCTATGGAATGACCATCCTCTTACCAAGATGAGTGATGATTCTACTTGTAATACATGTTTCATCATTTTCTTTTAATAAGCCAAGCATGAGAATGGACATTATAGTGGTGAAATCATCATTCATTCCACTTAATTTTAGTGAACCAAACATAGTGTTTTAAGTACCAGTGAGAGAGTCCAGGGAAGACAACAGAGGGTTCATTGAGCCTATGATTGAATTTGAGCATGTAAAATTTTATATATATAGTAAAAAGTTTTCAAAGTGCACTGGATTCAGTTGAACCCTCTGAGTTTCATGTAGAGTCGCCCTGCTTTTAGCCCTATAAGTATTAGATTTCTGCACTGTAATAGTTAGTTTTGAATTAATGAATCGAGAGTATTAAGCCTGTGGCTGTATGTTAGGGCTGTAGCCCTCTTCTTTCTTCTCTTTCTCTATTGTGTACTGCATTAGGATATTACCCAAAAGAACTACAAAATAAGTAGGCACATGAAATTTTCTCCACTAAAAAACATGGAAGTTTAACCAATGATTCAATAGGATAGATTCAAAAGTGACCATAATGACTAGATATAGTAATTTTTATGTTTACAATTGTGAAAAGGAATAATACAGCTGAAGATAATATTTGTGGAAAATGATCATAGCTGCTGCTTTTTAAAATCTGATTCTCTATTGGATGCATTCCTTCTTTACCATGACCTGTACTGTTAGGCGTTGGACACGAGCCACATTTCGGCCAGTTTGATTGTGGTGTTTTTCAATGATTTTTGGTGCTTTAATGGGCCAGGTATGAAAACTAACTCTTGAGTCTTTAAAATTTTTGAATCTCTATTGTGAATTCTATTTGTATGATGGAGTAGTTATTACATAATAAACCATGGTTGCTTCCTAGGTTATGTGGTTGAAGGATTGGCTACCCCTACCTGACCAAGACTACTACTTACTAGCAAGGCAGTTAATAAATTGCAAGGATAGACAAATACGGCACAAAGCAATGGCTTTCAAGAATTATTTCATTTTCATTATCCATTTTGTCAGCACTTATCAGGGTAGTGAAGGCCTCTGTTGTTAAATGATTATCATGCTTTATTTAATGTTTAAAACTATATTTTGTTATTAGCATCCTGCCAGGGCAAAAGTAATCATATATTAACCAAGGCAAAGGCTATTAAACTTATCAAAGTTATAAAAAGGTATAGCATGATTTCTGTATTTGGATTTCTTAAGGCAGTATAATCCTTGAAGTTAAAATCTAAGTAAAAGGCACAGGCCCTATATCTGGCAGAGAGGAGTAAGCCCAGTGAAACCCTGTGATGAACAACAAAATTTTAACTGGTAAGGACTACGTGGACCTTGAGATTTAAATATAGATTAGAGCGCTTCCTTTTGGTAAATTGATAATCTAGATAGCTCAAACTAGTTGATATATTCTTACCCAGACCAGTAGAAAATGCTATGACAAACATATGGGAACAAAACATTAGAGAATGGTATGAAAAATCAGGAACTTCACGCCTAAACTACCTTGATCTTGCCCAAACTGAAAAGCCATCAACAAAAGAACTAGCTCACAATATTGCTGTAATTTACGATAGAACTTGTCTTTCTAGTAAAGGACCTTTTAGCCATTTTTTTTTTTGCATATACTGTTTTTTCCAGTTATATTTATTTCCTTCTACCACTGGTTGGCTGTGGATATTCGGCTTGATTGTGGAAGGGGAATGTATGTAAGGTACACCTTCAGAGGTGAAATCAGCCTATTGTTGCTTTTGCAACACTTGAGGGCATTGTTATTTGTTTATTTATCTTTTTGGCATTCAGTCACCAAGTGCTTGTAATGCCTGCTGAGCATTTGAACTTAGTAGGATTTGAGGTTGCCTACGCACGTTTTTGGTGAAAATGATGAAGAGGGATGGTTGTTCATAAGAGAAAAAAAGAGGACTAAACAGTTAATAAGATCACTATTTGGGATTTATTGGTGCTTCACCGTAATTTTTATTCATTTATTTTCTATCTTATATAATATAATTTTCATTAAGTATAAATTAGTAGTCATAGCATACTATATTATTTATAATTTTTATTAATATTTTCATTTTTCAACTTACAAAACTAACCCGTCTCATGCCATGCATCTGCCAAACCCTGATTTGCCTCACCCCCAATATTATACGGGGTAGGGATAGAGGCAGGGGCAGGGGCGGATTACTACAAATTCACCCCAAACCTGCCCTGTGGCGATCCCTGATGAAGAATGAGAAGTGGTGGTTTGGGATTTCACCACACTAGTTTATTTATATATTTGATTTCACACTAAGCATCCACTCTGTTTGTTCACACACTCTGGGTCAACGGAATGGAACAAATTATCCCTGCTGCTGCTGTGATTTGATATTGAGAGAGCACTCTGAGCCATAGATAGTGGAACCAACCGGTCACCATAACTCATCTTGCTCACGTAGTTTTGGTCTAATAGAATGTTTGGCAGGTTTGAGGTCTCGATGTAACCAGGGTAAAAGCCGTGGCTTTGTTTGATGGAGAAAAAGAACAGTGGCAAAATGTCAATTGAGATTCTCAAATGCGTTGTTCTCATGGGCATTAGTGAAGTGTTTTTTCTTTAAAAGATCCCGTTTTCTGAAGCTGCCATTTTCCATAAACAAGGTACATTTATACTCAAGTCGGGTGCCTAGCTCCACCACTGCAACACCACCACTACCTCCTCCATCTCCAACTCCACACAACCATACTGCCATCACTGTCGTTGCCACCACCACTACTGATACTACTATTAGCACATTAGTTTCAAGATGCAACCAAGCACGGGGAAATAATTTTTGCTGAAACAAATAGAGTGCAAGTAAAAGAGCACTGATTTTAGTAGTAGGTAAAAAAGTACACTGATTTTGGTTCACATTATTATGTGTGAATCAGACCATAAATCCTATCCATTAAAATTCTAGGAAAAAAATTCAAGTCAATTAATTTAATGCCAGATCCAAACATATTTGACCCAATTTGAAGTATTCTTAGTCAAGAAGAAAATACTCTGTGCTTAATAATCAGTTATGTCAAGGTGATTGTGTTGTAAATAGAGCCTAGAGGTGATCAAGAGCTATGTCCTGACATGGACTTGAAGAGCATGAAAATCTGAGTTTCTTGTGCAAGCTGATAATCCTCAACAAAGGATCTAACAAATGCTACTTTTAGTTCTCCCTTGGTCTGTTGGAAGTGCGATTAGTGTTTGATTAGCACCGATACCATACTTTTATGATTGGGAAGTTGTCTCTCAGGGAAACGCACGCCCACTTATTAGAGTAGGAAGGTCTTGTTGCGTTTGAGTTGTTATCAGGGGAGGCGACTAGTTTGAGCAGGGTCTCACAGTTTCCCGAACTTCTTTAATAATGCAATATGGCAATTAATTTCGTCGTTTGGGAACTAGTTAAAAGTTTATTTTAGGATTGACCGTGATTGCTTTTGGAGGAGGTATGCAGTCTGTTAACATTACGATGATGACGTTCAAATTTTTTTGCAAAATTATTTAACCTTAATTAAACATCCCGTGATGACTAAGTTGTCCCATTTCCACCATCAACATAATGCAGGCCTTTTTTATATTATCTGCTGCAATTTGACACCCTTCAGTTTTCTTTGCAAGTTCACAAGTTGTTCCTCTTTTCAGTTTTCCCAAACAAACAATCCTCTAATATTAAAAACTTAACCTCCAATCATTTGGACTACAAGAAGCATTCCATACCAGACCTGGCCTCCCTTACAACGCCTATGTTGTTGCTCTATTGTCTTTTTATTTCAAGGTAAAACACTTACCATTATATCTAAGAATTTTAAAATTACCATTCTGTAAAAGTTTTTGAAATAACTTTCGTACAACTAGCATAGTTGAGTTACCATATAAATGATGGGCTGTGCACTCAACCCAGAAGCACGATCAACCCGCTTGACCCGAACCAACCCGTAGTGATACGAACAGTTTCGTGAGGAACAATGGTCGGTTGCAGTTGTTCAGTTCCAATTTTCGCCGGTGGTGGTCAATTGCGGGTTCAAGGTATTGAGAATCGATTATCCGACCTATTAATTTAATTAAAAAATATGTTTATTCAGACCTAAAATATTTATATTTATTTTTTATTATTTATGACAATGAGATCATATACATTATAATTGGAAAAAAAAAAATTAATTAAAAAAATAATTGAAAAAAAAAGGGTTTTTTATTTTTATTTTTTTGAGCAAAAAAAAAAAGGTTTTTTTTATTGATAAATCTCATTTCAAGGTGTTCTAACTCAATAAGTCTATCAAGGAAAATTATAATCTAATTAGGCTCATGTATTTATACTTTTATTTTATGAGGTCTTTTTTTCTTGATTTATATTGTTTGTTAGACTATTATACCCTTGTGTCTATTGTTGATATGTATTACAAAGAAAAATGATATATACATTTCCTTTTTGTTGCTACTTTTATTTTAGTAATTACCATTATTCACATTTTTCTTTTTGATCAGTTTCATTTATATTTGTGGTATTGTTTCATTGTGTTAGAGTTTCGAAACTCTCTATGTGGTAGGATTTAGAAACTCTAGTTTACACATGGTGGTGAAATAATATTATGTTCCTCCATTGTTATGGTAAAGTTTTGTGTTCCTCCATTGTTACTTTGTGTTCGAAGTTCTGTATTCGTCCATTATTACTCTGTGTTCGAAACCCTATGTTTCTCCATTGTTGTAAGTCGAAACTCTGCTTATGTCCAATCAATTTTGTTATAAACATATTCTTCAAAGGTGAGTTTGGTTTGATTTGGATTTGGATTGGTTTGGTGGAATGGTGAAATTGCATAGATTGTTAATGATAGTGATAATGATAAAGATGACGATGAAGATGAGGATGTGTGTGATATTTTTCTGATTTTAAAGTGATTGAGTCTTTTTTTTTAGATTTCTAATTCTATTGCTTTCATTGTTTCTATTTTTTGTCAATCAGTTTGAATGTTCGTATTTCACATTATTCGAAAGTTTAAGAAATAAGTGTTGGAATATAGATATGGATATAATTATATATTTTGCAAATTGTGAATGTTCACATATCATTGGTCATTTGTTACTACATTTGTTGTTTGAACAATCACTTTTTGTTACCATTAAACAATTGAAATAGTCATTTTTTTCTTTCAATTTTGTTTCATGTTGTAATATGAATATTCACATTGGTATGAATTTAGTTTTTCTAAGGTTAGTTGTATATTAACCGTAAATTGTGAACATTCACATTGTATTTTGGTATGAATTTTTTTTTAAATTTTTTTTTTTTCGAAAGTTAGTTGTATTTTTTTTTTTTAACTATGCTAGTTGGTTGAACAATCATTTTTGTTACCATTAAACAATCGAAATGGTCGATTTTCACTTTTTTCACTTTTGTTTTATGTTTTCACGTCGCAATGTAAATGTTTACATTGGTATGAATTATTATTTTTAGATTAGTTGTATGTTAATTATAAATTGTGAATATTCACATTGTATTTTGGTATGAATTTTATTTTTTTTGAAAGTTAGTTGTATGTTTGTTAGTCATTGTGAACATTTACATTGTACTTTAGTATGTGTTTTATTTTTTTTTCAAAAGTTAGTTGTATGTTTGTTGTTTACTTTAAACATTCACATTATATTTTGATTTTCATTCAGATTTTTTGTTGCGTTATTTTTAAAATTTTCAAATTATAAAAAGATTCAAAATTCAAAATTTGAGATTTTCTCCATAGAATGCAGGAGAGTTTTTTGCAAAATTATTTAACCTTAATTAAACATCCCGTGATGACTAAGTTGTCCCATTTCCACCATCAACATAATGCAGGCCTTTTTTATATTATCTGCTGCAATTTGACACCCTTCAGTTTTCTTTGCAAGTTCACAAGTTGTTCCTCTTTTCAGTTTTCCCAAACAAACAATCCTCTAATATTAAAAACTTAACCTCCAATCATTTGGACTACAAGAAGCATTCCATACCAGACCTGGCCTCCCTTACAACGCCTATGTTGTTGCTCTATTGTCTTTTTATTTCAAGGTAAAACACTTACCATTATATCTAAGAATTTTAAAATTACCATTCTGTAAAAGTTTTTGAAATAACTTTCGTACAACTAGCATAGTTGAGTTACCATATAAATGATGGGCTGTGCACTCAACCCAGAAGCACGATCAACCCGCTTGACCCGAACCAACCCGTAGTGATACGAACAGTTTCGTGAGGAACAATGGTCGGTTGCAGTTGTTCAGTTCCAATTTTCGCCGGTGGTGGTCAATTGCGGGTTCAAGGTATTGAGAATCGATTATCCGACCTATTAATTTAATTAAAAAATATGTTTATTCAGACCTAAAATATTTATATTTATTTTTTATTATTTATGACAATGAGATCATATACATTATAATTGGAAAAAAAAAAATTAATTAAAAAAATAATTGAAAAAAAAAGGGTTTTTTATTTTTATTTTTTTGAGCCAAAAAAAAGGGTTTTTTTTATTGATAAATCTCATTTGGAGGTGTTTTAACTCAATAAGTACATCAAGGAAAATTATAATCTAATTAGTCTCATGTATTTATACTTTTATTTTATGAGGTCCTTTTTTTCCTGATTTATATTGTTTGTTAGACTATTATACCCTTGTGTCTATTGTTGATATGTATTACAAAGAAAAATGATATATATATTTCCTTTTTGTTACTACTTCTATATTGGTAATTACCATTATTTACGATTTTTTTTTTTGGAGCAGTTTCATTCATATTTGTGGTATTGTTTCATTGTGCTAAGGTTTCGAAACTCTCTAGTTGGTAGGGTTTAGAAACTCTAGTTTACACATTGTGGTGA